GAAGACTTAGGGTACACAACATCTGCCGTCCAACACTTGACACCGAAGGTCTGTCTTAGCATGGGGGGCTAAATTTGTTCTTTGAGCCCTGCAGGGTAAACCCCCCACCAGCAGCATGAAAATCTCCCTAATGATCATAGACTCCAGGTAATAGGCTTCCCCACCCCATGCAGCAAGGCCTCTGCCCAGCTCTGTAGAGGCTGGAGCTGTCTGACGTTTGAGGACCAGATGGTAGGTTGAACCCTGGACCCCCGAGAGGCCTACCACAGGGCCATTCTGTGAGCTGACCATCTGGACAGTCATTCTAAAGTTATGTAACACTGAAAAATTTTGACTCCCTAGAAGCTCCCTAAACTTTTGTTTTCTCAGCTGAAAAATGGAGTTGTTAGGAGGATTAAATTTGATTATATTTGTAAACCAACATAGACTTGATTATATTAATATAATCTTATACTGACAACAGCTATCAGTGTTGGTGTTGGTATTAGGATGGGTACTAGTGTATTCGTATTAGGTATGAGAGGCAGTGTTGCGCGGCAGTGAAGAGCCAGGCTTGGGAGACAGACAGATCTGAGTCTGGTCTCTGGTCACACCCTGTGTATGTACAGAAACAGGAACTCGCACAACAGAGGCACTTGTGGGGTTTGGGGAGAGGACTGTTCACAGTTTTAAAAATTCAGAATAAGTTTTCTTTAGAACATCTGGCACAGGTGTTTGTTTGTTCTTTAATTTTTATGTCAAATTAATAAATGTGCGGAGTTCATAAAATCTCACAGCACTACAGGCCTGTAGTACTACAAGTGATGTGCTGGAGTCAACCTGCACTCATGAGAGTCTATTGTTAAATTTTTAGGAGTTTTGCAAGCTGATTGTTAAACACAGTCATTATTAAAAATTAAATTGCATAAACTTACAATTAAATAATTTAAGCAAAAACAGAGGTACCAGTACTAAATATTAAAAATTCATCACTTCCTAATTATTTTAATACTATCCATGTTCTTTTTTTTCTTTTTATGACAAGTTTTGTTTTTGTTTTTTGGCAGCTGTCTAGTATGGGGATCCGATTCCTTGACTTTGGTGCTAGCAATACCATGCTCTAACCAGCTGAGCTAACTGGCCAGTCCCCATCTGTGTTCTTGAGGTTATTTATGTCTATTACATTGTTTATAGTGGAAATATTATATAATAGTGTGCAACTGAGAGTATCTTCTAACTCTGTATTTGCTGACCTCACCTCTTTAGCCTGAAATTAGCGATGGTGGGAATATTTACACCACTGAAATTGGCAAATGCTACACATGTGGGACTTTTTTCCCTGGAGACCCATTTGTTAAACATCTCCCCAGGTCACAACTGCCTGTAACCTCAGTTCCTGTCCCTGCTTGCTACATTCCCCACTTCCTATTCCCAAAATGTAGCTACTTGCATTTCTTTCAGCTTTTTCGTTTGGTGCTTACTCCCATATTTCTTAACTACTTGCTTTTTCTACAGTGCTTTGATTTTTTAAATCTTAGACACTGCCTATTGACTTCCTATTATGGAAAATGTGGCTCTAGCTCTGTTCCTGCTCTATCCCCCTTCTTACTACACTCACACATGCTTTCCCTGCCTCTGGTCTAGCATATTATAACACAACTCTTGCTTAAATAAATATTCAGGATTGACATTACAACTATGTAAACATTGTACATAAATCATTATGCGCTATGATTACTTTAGCTTTCTTATACGGCATTTTTTTCCTGGAGTTAATAATTGCATTTTTAAATTTGCTTGATTTCTCTACAAAACAGTGCTTTTCAAACTTTTCTATTTAGAAATGGAACTCATCTTTTAAACAAAATTTTATGTAGAACCCTAAACCCTACTATATGAAAAGGAAAATTAGAGCTGCCGGGTTGAAAGGGGGTCCTTCCCTTCAGGGCTGCTGCATACAGCCAAGCAGGTTGTGTACTGTGAAATTCTAGGGGCCACCATTCACATAAACAACAGTGTGATACAGTCATGAAAGCTGTATTTGCCCACCCCATTGGGGAATGCATCCATGGTGTAAAGAGAGGTCCACCTGGAAGTATACATTACCTCAGGATCATTCTCTGCTTTAAAAAAACTTATTCCATTTGATTCTGTACCCCACAAATATATATAATCAATACGAAATAAAATAAAATAAAAAGACTATTCCCTTCCCCAGTGTGGGGCTCTGGCCCTTCCCCATTCTGAATAGGTTCCAACAATCTTGCTTAAACTGTCCCTCCAGAGTATCACCCACAGACTGCTGGCTAGAGCTCCTGTGAGCTGATGGCCACCTATTGACTGATTCAGTGCCCCTCAGATTTTCCTGGGTTGGGCTGGGTGCCAAAGGCTTCATTGCGGACAGCTTTACTCAGGGAACGCTCAGATGCAGCCTTTGAGATCAGAGGTAAGAAATGGCTCTGTCAGAGAGTAAGTGAGCGGTGGAAGCAGACAGTGCAGGCCCTGTCTGCCCATGGAAAGTCAGAGCTGGAGGAGGGGGGCTGATTGACAATGGACAGTGGGGTTCAAAAAAACTCGCCTTTGAGAGTCACACCTGTGTGGGAAGCCCAGCTCTGCTTTCAGCCAGTTGACCTTGGGCAAGCTGCTTCACCTCTGGGCCTTAATTTTATCATACCTAGTTAACAGGCTTGTTGTGAGCCTTAAAGATAATCTGTAACCCTCATAAATCCCAGTGTCACATGTGGCTCAGTCTCTGCTTAGAGTCTCATTTAAAAAATCATGCTCTGGGCCGGCCCGGTGGTGCACTGGAGAGTGCGTTGTGGCGGCGCTCCCGCCGAGGGTTCGGATCCCATGTGGAGACCAGTTCCCGCTCACTGGCTGAGCGCGGTGCGGGCGCGACACCGCGGGTTGCGATCCCGTTACCAGTCAGTAAAAAAGACAAAAAGAAAAAAAAAAATCATGCTCTAACAACCCAAAAGTAACTGAAAAAATATTCCAAACCTAGCTGCTTCCCTCATAAAATGTTGAGGCAGGGCCGGCCCGGTGGTGCACTGGAGAGTGTGCTGTGGCGGCGCTCCCGCCGAGGGTTCGGATCCCATGTGGAGACCAGTTCCCGCTCACTGACACCGCGGGTTGCGATCCCGTTACCAGTCAGTAAAAAAGACAAAAAGAAAAAAAAAAAAATCATGCTCTAACAGCCCAAAAGTAACTGAAAAAATATTCCAAACCTAGCTGCTTCCCTCATAAAATGTTGAGGCAGTGCCCATTCATAACTGATAGAAACACTCCCCAAATTCTCTCCCTCTATTCTCTAATTTTCCCAGGATGTATAGTATCAGTGAAATTCTCCTGGTTCCAGCCTCTGAGGCTGTTTTCCTCTCTCTCTTTCTCTGCCTCATTCCTCCCCCTCCACACCACTGCTGTTTTCTCCAGGCCTGTTTTGCTCTACCCCTCCTGACATTGCTGTGTCACAAAAGACCAAACGACTGGAAATGAGCTGATAGGGGTTCAAGCAGGAAGTGGGTGGGGAAGAGATTACAGCAGGGTGCACACTCTGCATGACTCTTCCTCCATCTCACTGGGAAGTTCAGGCACACGGTGGTGGGAAAAAGTTCTCTTCCTCCTTACTAAAAGTGGGCGGTCCTTTAGGCAGGTCATACCTCAAGGACTGCCCACTTTTCTGACCATCTGCCACTATTAGCAAATAGGAAGTGACTAGAAAAACCTCCTTTTCTTCTTTCCTAAAAAGACCTGATGGAGGCCCGGCTTCTACCTACAGTTCCTTCACCCTTCCCTGCCACTTTGGTAGCCACTAATCATGGAACAGCCTGTTCCTACACCCAGACACATCCCTTGTTTCCTCTTTTTGTGGACTCCTTTCCCCTCCCGGGATGTCTTTCAGGTCATGTGCTGAGCACCTACTGTGTGCCAGGCCTGTAAGGAGCTGCACATTCAGAGATAAGGAAGACACAGCCCCTGTCTTCAGTTGCTCACAGACAAACAGAAAAAGACCGTCAATCAGATGTGCTTGTGTCATAACAGAGGGAAGCACAGAATGCTGTGAGAGCACAGAGGAGGAGCTCTTACCCTGTGGAGGGATCAGAGAAGACTTCCTGGAGGAGGTGTCATCTAACTGTAAAATAATAACTACTATCATATATTGAAAAATCACTATGATGATAATCTCTACAGTACGTGCTTTGCTATACACATTAGCTCATTTAATCTTCAGAACAATGCTAAGAAGTAGGTGTTGCTGTCCTCATTTTCAAAATGAGGAAACAGCCTCTGAGAAGCTCACTTCCCAAGGCCACACAGCTAAAAAGTGGCAGAGCTGTGATTCAAACACAGGCCTGTGTGACTCCAAAGCCCGTGCTTTCAGCCACAGGGCACTGTACACAGGAGTTCAGGATGCACACTGCACAAGGATGCCCATTCACGTCATAGATAGAACAACTTATATAGGAATGTCTGGGTGGACCCAGAGGTTTGGGCCTCTCTGCTGACTCCTGGAACAGCAGGAAAGAGCCTCCTCCTGATACAAACCTGACCGTGTCATCTCCTCTGGGGGGCAGAGGGGAGTATGGGCACTGGGGAGAGGAGGTGCACCCCAGTGACTTGGTAAGTATGAACGGGCGAGAAAGTAGGCATGGTGTGTGCTGCCTGGACCTCTGCCCACCAGGCTATGGTCATTCCAGTAGATAGTAGCATCTTAACTTGAGGAAGGGGCACCTTTTCCTAATTTGCACAGAGGTGTCCTATGGACCAGCAGTGGCCCTGCCACACTGTTCTGCTGTGTGGCCTCCCCCTACCACTGTTCAGAGTGTTGGGGAGGATGCAGCCACAGAGCAATTTGGCCCAGCCCAATTCAGCCAGCTGGGACTCAAAGACAAATAAGACATAGGTGGGTCCTCAAGGACCTTCCAGTCTAGTTGGGAAACCCAGAAAAAAGGACTTTTCTTTCAGAGCCACCCTGGGGCTATTGAACTAATTCCTTCTTTCTCTCTCTTTCTCCTCTGCAGACAGGCAGGATTGAACCCAACCACCCTAAGGTCTGTGGTCACCAAGGCAATGTGCTGGACATCAAGTGGAACCCCTTCATCGACAACATCATTGCCTCATGCTCAGAGGACACATCGGTGAGCAGCAGGGTGCTCCCTGAGGAGGTCGGGCTTACGGGGGCTCCTCCCTGCTTCCTCTTGGGGCCTCCCTCCTTTCACTGCCCCCCTCCTCCCTTTGCCCTTCTTCCATCCTCTTTGTCATCCTTCCAGCTGTCCCAGGATAGGGAGGAAGGGACTTAGGTTAGGACTGAGGGAGCGAATCCATGGAGTGTTTGACAGATCTTGTGCCTTTAGTGTGATTGAGTTTGAAAGTGTTGATTTTTGTAGGTGAGAATTAGAACAAAAAAATTAAGTGTGTGATTCAGCACTCTTCTGTGATCTCAAAAGAAGGAGGTCAGGAGCAGGGATGTGGGAAAGGAGCAAGGGGGAAAGGAAGGCGACGGATGTGCCAGGAGGAAGAGAGCTCTCGCTCCATCTGGTTGTCCTCTGTGAGTCGTGGTTTCTAGGGAAGAACACTGGGCTGAGAGAATTGTCATGACTTGTCCTAGGACCCACATTGGTAGCCCAGAGCTTGAACACCAGGTATCCCACCACTTGATGGGAACAGAGAAGAAGTAGGAGGGAAATGAGGAAGAGAGAGCAGGGAGAGAGGACAGACAGGAGAGGTGGAGATGGGGGAAAGGAGGGAAGAGACAACTTAGAGGGCGGATAAAGAATCCAGAGAGAGTGAAACTTGATGCTGCTTTCTGGCCACTCTTTACTCGGCTCTGCTGGCTTTCACAGGTACAGGTAGGGTCAGAGGTGTTGGCGGTAGCCCCCATGTTTCTGGAAAGGGGCCCCATGCTGTTCCCCACATTACCCCTGCGCAACATCGACACACCAGCTTGTATGCAACAGGGGATTTCAGAGCCTCAGCTGAGCTCGTAGGGAGGGTCTTGGTGTTCCCAAATGAAGGAAGATCAGTCTTCCAGTCAGGCTACCAGTATCTACCTGATGCTCACTGGCGTAGCCTGGGTTCAGGTTAGACTGCCAGGATATTGGAACTGGAAGGAACTTCAGAGCTCATGTCTGCCTGTCTTCCCAGACTGGAATGTGAGCTGTAGAGACCATAGCCTGTTTGACTCTGAACCCCAAGCATCCGCCACAGGGCCTGGTACTTAATAAATGCCTAGTAGGTACTGGATAGGATGGATGGATGGATGGTTAGATAAATAGATGAATGGATGGATGGATGAGTAGATGGATGGATGGATGGATGGTTAGATAAATAGATGAATGGATGGATGGATGAGTAGATGGATGGATGGATGGATAGATGGGTTGTTGGATCGATGGGTAGGTAGATGGATGGATGGCTGAATGCATGAATGGATGGATGTATAGGTAGATGGATGGAAGGATGGATAGATGGATTGTTGGATGGATGACTACATAGATGGATGCATGGATGGATGGATGGATGAGTAGATGGATGTATGGATGGATAGATGGGTTGTTGGATCGATGGGTAGGTAGATGGATGGATGGCTGAATGCATGAATGGATGGATGGATAGGTAGATGGATGGAAGGATGGATAGATGGATTGTTGGATGGATGACTACATAGATGGATAGAGAGATGCATGAATGAATGGATGATTGATAGATGAAAGAATGGAAGAAAGTGACTAGATAAGTAGATGACTCGATGGTGGGTGGATGGATAGATGGATGAAAGATAAACGAATGAGTGAATGAGTGTCAATTATCCAAAGAAAGAGAGATTCACAATAAATAGTCTCCATCAATTCACAAAGGTGGGGTGAGGTCAGCTGCCACAGTATGTAGTACCTGGGAGAACGGTGGGGAGGGGGCTAGGAGAGTGGAGTGGGCTTCACCAGCTCCTGGTGTCAAAGCCCTGTGCCATTGGAGAGGATTCCTGATAGCAGCAGCAGTGAGGGCAGGGCCCACGTGAACGGAGAGTGCAAGAATTTGTGGTGAGGACGGTTCATCGGGTTTGCTTACTTTCTTCAGCAGCCCCAGAACCAAGGTGATCAGGGGACAGTGATCTGGGGTCAGGACATAGGTAGAGCAGAGCTACAGAAGGTGGGCACAAGGTGATGGAGCCCAGGAAGGATGATGAAGCTGGGGGGCAGAGGGGACAGTGATGTCACCGGTTACTGCCTGGGCTCAGTGGGAGAGGGCAGACAGAGGCCCTGCCCATCCTCTCCTAGATGCAGGGAGCCCAAGAAGGAGCACAGTGACCACTGCTGGCTCTATCCCTGCCTGCTGAGGTGTTGGGTGACTGTCACCAGCCGGCCGGGAGCAGACCCCTCTGAAACTTGGGGCTGCCTTTTACTGAGCTCCTGCACCCACCCTGGGCTGGGCACTTTACATACATTTAGCTTTCACTGCCACCCCCAAACTGAGGGGCAGGGGCAGTTGCACAGCTAGGAAGTAGAGGGGCAAGGGCTTTACCTGGGGCTGCTGGCTCCAAAGCCCGTGCTCTTCCTGTCCCGCCAAGCTTCATCATCATAGGAATCAAAAGATAGTGACTGCTGGAAGCTCTAGGGCTCTCCTGGTGTCTCCTGTCTCCTCTGGGACCCACTGGGTAAAAGAGCAGCAGTGTCCATCCTGATGTGGAGGAGGGACAGGGTTAGGCCGGGCTCTCGGCATCACTGGCAGCCCTGGCTCCTCCTCAGGTCACAACTTCTCTGTCTGACCCAGGCAAGATGGACCTTTCCAGTTCCAGCTCAGCACCTTATTTCCCCTGACAGGTGCCTCATGCTCACTCCAGGATCCCAGGTGACAAACAAGACACCCATCCTGTGTATTCGAGAAAAGCATAAGGCTGTACCCCAGCCACATAAGCCAAGCAGCTCTCTTCAGTTTCACACACACAGATTGAGGGACCACAGCATACCCGGGAGGTCCAAAGAGAGCTCGACCGTGGAATCTGGTAGACCTGGGATTGAATCTTGGCTCTGCCATTTACCAGCTGGGTGACCAAGGGAGTGTTACTTAAACTCTCTAAGCTTCGTCTGAGCCTTTAGACAGTTTTTCTCATCTTAAAATAGTAATAATAATACCTCCCTGCAGCAGTTACAATGAGGTTGAAAGGAAGTCTGTGCCTAGCACTATACCTAGCACCTCATAAATGCATGCTAATCTCAGTCCCGCTCTGGAAACACTTCCAGCAGAGAGGCAGGGCTCTACCCACTCACTGAAATGCAATGCAGGATGAGGTCACTGCATCTGTTGAAGGCCACACGAAGGGCTGTGCACACAGAGGAGACAGGGACTGATTTTGACCAAGGTGCAGGAAGGGGGAAAGGAGGTTAGGGAGAGCTGGCCCTTAGAGAAGCAGGACCTTGAGCGGTAGAAAGAGTTAAAAAAAGAAATCCTGGGAAGAGGCCCAGCAAGGCAAAGGCCTGGAGAGAATGTGTCTGGTGTGGCTGGAGCCCTGAGGTGGTCAGTGAGGGGAGTGGGCAAGAGAGGAGGCTGCGAAGGGAGGTTGGGACTAGAGGGAAAAGGCTTGGGATGCAGGGTGCGCAGGTGAATTTGGTAGTGAGGCCTGTGCCTCAAGGCATGTGCCGTGTGGGAGATGCTACGCACTCCAGGGGATCAGGGAAGGGGAGCTGTGAGGATCGAGGGCTCATGGCCAGCTTTCTGCATGAGGAGGGGCCGGAGTTAGCTGAACAGACTGGGATGGGGATCAGTGGGGAGAAGGGGGTGGCTGGGAGGAGTGAAGGGAAAGGACACCGGCTTGGGGCACAGAGGGGGAGGGCCTGGCCAGGGCAGCTGATCAGAGACAAGCAGATTAAGTCTCTGGGTCAGAGAGGAAATAAGCTCTGGCTCTGCCTACCAGGCCAGCTGCCCCAGAAGTGGCAGCTCAGAGCCCAACCTTACTCCTCTGTGTCTACTCCTCCCCAGCCTCAGGGCCAGGGGTCTTGGCTCTGGAGCCAGCAGGCCCTTGAGGCTGGAGCCCAGCCCCTCCAGGAGCAGGGCACACTGAGGCAAGGTGGACGCTCCTCACCCAAGGTCATAGGGCACCTCACCAACAACTCTGGCATTACAGGGAGGAAACTGAGGCTTAGAGCCATGACAGGCTGAGAATACTGATCCATCAAAAGTTCACTGTTTACAGCACAGCATCTTCTCTGCACAGGGCCCGTGCTGCACAATGAAGGCATGCCAGGGAAGGCAACCCTTGCCAGGGGCCTGGGAGGGGGCAGGGCATAAGGGACAGGAGCCCACAGCTCCAAGGGGAACACGAGGGGGCTGTCAACACTGGCGTGGCTCTTCTGAAGGGAAGGCAACCCTTGCCAGGGGCCTGGGAGGGGGCAGGGCGTAAGGAACAGGAGCCCACAGCTCCAAGGGGAACACGAGGGGGCTGTCAACACTGGCGTGGCTCTTCTGCCCAGCCTCCCTGCCTCCATCGAAGCACCTCAACGCAGGCCTCAGAGACCCCCTCCCTTAACTCGTTCCAGCCTGAATGATCAACTAATGGCACATCCAGCATGACAGCCAGAACCAGGGTTGGGAGGCCAGTCAGCAGAGCCACGATGTGCCAGGCACATGCTACATGCCGGGGCTGGGGAGGGCAGCGCCCAGAGGGGCCCAGAGAGAAGCTCTCTCGGCAGCAGGTCTGGCCATTCACCCTGGTAGTGCCTGAGCCCCCTCCACAGCCATCCCTCCTCTGCCCCCTTCTCGTCCCTTGGAACATCAAGAGCACACTGAAGGGATCTAATGAGCACCCATTCCCCCGGCTGCTTTCCCAGATGCCCATCCCTGAAAAACCTCTGGTGGAATCAATCCCTCCCCCCTCCGCCGCCCCATCCCTCAGGACCAGCCTCCCCACCCGCAGAGCATGAAGAGGTCCTCCAGAGTCTGACCTCTGTCCCTCCAGGGGTCCGATGGAACCTACCCAAGCCCCTTCCCAAGGGGCCTCCGTCCTGAGGGAGGGGTGGGGGCCATAACTCTCCCTGGCATCTGGCAGAATCCAGTTCTTTCCGCCGCTGGGTGATGTCACCTATTGTTGAAGGGCTGTGCTTTTTATAGCTTCTGCCGCAGCTAGGGAGGGCGGCTGGCAGGCGGC